GTGTGTGTGTGTGTGTGTGTGTGTGTGTGTGTGTGTGTGTGTGTGTGTGTGTGTGTGTGTGTCTCAGGTCATAAGCAGAAGAAGGTGGATGCCCTGCAGCCCTGTGACACGGCGTATCCCGGCTTCATGTACGACTCGTCTGTTAAAGAAGCAAACAGCCTCATCAAGTGTGGACGCTGCCAGAAGTAGGACACACACACATACACACACTGTAAAAGTACTAATACTGCAAGTAAAGTCCTGCATTCAAAAACAAAAGTATGTAAGTATTTTTATCAGAATGTATTTCTGATTCATATAAATAATACTGTATATGTAGCATTGTAACTCCTTTATATCTGTTGGTTTAATCTACATCAAAGCATCGTGTATAAATGCACCTGCAGCTCCATCTAGTGGTCAAACCACGTATTGTTCTAGTGCATCACTTTTTTTTTCCTTATTCATGAAGACAAATAGAAACTATTTCATTTTATTTTACACTCCAGGGAACAGTGAAGAAGTGAAGAAGAAACTGTCCCCTGAGTTCAGGCTCAAATCACAGGATTTAAACACACCTTCTGTATTCTATGAATGTGTCAAACTCTAAACTAATGTTTGGCTTTACACCGAGGGTTGTTTATATCAAAGTAAGGAATAACTCCTAAAGGTGCAGTGTGGAGGATTTGGTGGCATCTAATGGTGAGTTTTCAGATTACAGCTGTGAAAACGTGAACGTCCCTCTCTAGAGTTTGGTTTGTCCGCTCTGGGCTACCGTAGATATAAACAGCTGTTTATGAGGTTCACTGAAAACACAACGATTCTTATTTTCAGGTGATTAAACACGAAAGAAAACTTTAAAATATTGTGTTCCTCCATTTCTGCCAAATGCAACAAAACACTGTACCTTTAAACATTTTATATATACAGTATATATATATATATATATATATACAGTGTGTATACATATATATATATATATATATATACAGTGTATATACATATATATATATATACAGTGTATATATATATATGCGCACTTTGCTTCAGTTCTCACGTCATAGTTTGGTGTGAAGCTGCATTTTATTTGTTGTTATACTTGAGTTGATTTTCTCTTTAATGATAAACACAAATGTTAAATCGAGCAATATGATAATTTAGTTTCATGGAGGAATTTATAAATTATAAACTCTATTCTGTCTGTTAGTTGTTATTGATGATTATAGAGGGAGTTGTTGGTTGGTTGGTTAATTGTTTGGTTGGTTGGTTGGTTGGTTGGTTGGTTGTTTAGTTGATTGTTTGATTGGTTGGTTGGTTGATTGGTTGGTTGGTTGGTTGTTTAGTTGTTTGGTTGGTTGTTTAGTTGTTTGGTTGGTTGGTTGGTTGGTTGTTTAGTTGATTGTTTGTTTGGTTGGTTGGTTGATTAGTTGTTTGATTGATTGACTGGTTG